ATTATCAGTAACTGTTCCTTTCCTTATCCACATTATCAGTAACTGTTCCTTTCCTTATCCACATTATCAGTAACTGTTCCTTTCCTTATCCACATTATCAGTAACTGTTCCTTTCCTTATCCACATTATCAGTAACTGTTCCTTTCCTTATCCACATTATCAGTAACTGTTCCTTTTCTTGTCCACATTATTAGTAATCATTCCTTTCCTTATCCACATTATCAGTAACTGTTCCTTTCCTTGTACCCATTATCAGTAATCATTCCTTTCCTTGTACCCATTATCAGTAATCATTCCTTTCCTTATCCACATTATCAGTAATCCTTCCTTTCCTTATCCACATTATCAGTAATCCTTCCTTTCCTTATCCACATTATCAGTAATCTTTCCTTCCCTTGTACACATTATCAGTAATCATTTCTTTCTTTATCCACATTATCAGTAATCATTTCTTTCTTTATCCACATTATCAGTAATCATTTCTTTCCTTATCCACATTATCAGTAACTGTTCCTTTTCTTGTCCACATTATCAGTAATCCTTCCTTTCCTTATCCACATTATCAGTAACTGTTCCTTTCCTTGTACCCATTATCAGTAATCTTTCCTTCCCTTGTACACATTATCAGTAATCTTTCCTTCCCTTGTACACATTATCAGTAATCATTTCTTTCTTTATCCACATTATCAGTAACTGTTCCTTTCTTTATCCACATTATCAGTAACTGTTCCTTTCTTTATCCACATTATCAGTAATCATTTCTTTCTTTATCCACATTATCAGTAATCATTTCTTTCCTTATCCACATTATCAGTAATAATTTCTTTCTTTATCCACATTATCAGTAATCATTTCTTTCTTTATCCACATTATCAGTAACTGTTCCTTTCTTTATCCACATTATCAGTAATAATTTCTTTCTTTATCCACATTATCAGTAATAATTTCTTTCTTTATCCACATTATCAGTAATATTTCCTCCCAGTTTGATGCACATGTAGAGCATGCAGCTTCAGTTCAAAACTAACACAAGAGTTTTCTATCTCTGATATCAGACAGGCTATTGATTTTTACAGGGAAGATTTGTGAAATCCTGATATTTTTGATGAAGAACTCTATCAATGGAAGACAAGATGGCTTTTATACCTCTTCAGGACAGGCCCCAGATACTGACTGCTTAAAAGCCTGCTCCTGTGTACGATATATTTTGATGTTACTGAAACTCTGCCACTAAGTTCATGTGAACATTCATC